GCGACAAGTGCGAATTTGTCCGACATTTTCGTCTATCGCCGAACTTTGGAGGATCATCTTGGGCATCTTCGACGAGTGTTGGAGACGCTCCGCCACGCCAAGTACAAGGCCAACCGCGACAAGTGCGAATTTGTCCGACAAGAGCTGGAATACTTGGGCCATTTTGTCACACCGGAGGGCATCAGTCCGCTATCGGACAAGATTCAGGCCATCCAAGAGTGGTCGGAGCCTCGGAACGTCACGGATGTCTGTTCGTTCCTTGCCTTGCCGGCTACTACCAGCATTTTATCAAAGGCTACTCGAATATCGCGGCCCACTTGACCAAGCTTCAATGCGAGGATCGACTGTTTGACTTCGGAGAGGAGGCGCGGGAATTATTTTTGGCTCTCAAAGTCGTGCTGTTATCTGCGGAGGTCTTGCGCATTTACGACCCGCTTTTGCCTACGCGCGTCACTACGGATGCGTCCGACTATGGCATTGGTGCCGTCCTCGAGCAACATGATGGTGTGGACTGGCACCCGGTCGAGTATTTTAGCAAGAAAGTGTTCGTCGTGCATTCCATTGACGATGCACGCAAGAAGGAGCTCCTCGCCTTTGTCCACGCGCTCATGAGGTGGCGGCGTTTCCTCCTTGGTCGAAGCCAATTTCAATGGGTAACGGACAACAATCCGCTGGTCTTCTATAAGACCCAAGACACCGTCAACAACACCATCACTCGATGGATGGCTTTCATCGACCAGTTTGACTTCTTTCCCGATCACATTCCCGGGAAGTCGAACCGTTTTGCGGATGCTCTTTCATGGCGTCTGGATCATTGTACCACGGTCTACTCAACCTTCGAGATCGACGATGACCTGCGGAACAGCTTCATTCGCGGCTACCAAGCCGACCCTGAGTTTCGCGACAAGTACGTGAATTGCTCCTCTCCTAATCCGGCACCTTCTCACTACTGGATACAAGAGGGGTACTTGCTTGTCCACACGCGGGGGAAGGACCTTCTTTGCGCATTGAGTGATCCTCACTTGCGTACACGGCTTCTTGGCGAGTTCCACAATGCTCCCGCCACCGGACACTTTGGAGTCAATCGCACGATTGGCCTACTTCGCGAGCGATTTTGGTGGCCCGGACTTCTCGGCGACGTCACGCGCTATTGCGAGTCATGCGAGGTTTGTCGATGCTGCAAATCCCGCAACCATCGTCTGTGCGGCGAGTTACGACCATTACCGGTCTCGTTGAGGCGAAGGGAAGCGATTGCCATAGACATTACCGGCCCGTTTCCCAAGCACAAGACCGGAGTGGATGGGATTCTCACGGTGGTCGACCGACTCACCAAGTTCGCCATGTTTTCGCCTTGTCGCTATCATGCCAAGGCACCGGAGTTGGCCAAGGTTCTTTACGCCGATTGGGTTCGAACCAAGGGTTACCCGAAGGAGATCGTCTGCGACCGCGACTCTCGGTTCATGTCCGATTTTTGGTTGGCGCTCATCAAGCGATGCGGCTCATCTCTCAAGCCCAGTTCAGCTCGCCACCGACGGCCAAACGGAGAGGGCGAACCAGACCGCACAGGTTCTCCGTTGCATTCTCATCTGTCTTGACTAGAAGGACTAGGTTGAGCGGCTGCCGGATGTCGAGTTGGCCTACAACTCTTCCATCCACCTGGCTATCGGGATACCGCCTTTCGAGTTCGAGCACGGCTCGCCGGTTACTTCACCATTCGACATTATCACTCCACGAACGGCCGAGAGCGACGACCATCTTCTTTTCTTGCGTCGGATGCAAGAGCTTCTTGTCAAGGCACGCGACCAGATGGCTAAGACGCAGCAGCACATGAGCCAGCAGGCCAATCGCCAGCGTCTACCTTGCCCATTCCGCGCCGACGACCTCGTTTGGGTTTCCGCAGCGGAATTCCACCTTGAAAAAGACATCTCTGGCAAGCTCCTCCCGAAATGGATGGGGCCTTGGCCGATCGTAGCACCCGCTAGAGACGCACCCGAGGGACCTTCCTTCACGATTTAGGTGCCCGCCCACTTCCCCGTCTACCCAGTCTTTCATTGCTCCAAGTTGGCTCTTTACACGCCAGCGGAACATGACGATTTTCCCGGGAGACGTTCGCAAGACCCACCCTCCATGGATGGTTTTCAGGAGGTCGGTGACATCATCTCCCAGCGACGCTACGGCAACAGGCCAACCGAGTATTTAGTGCATTTTGCATACTGCACACACCGAGCTGACCGTTGGTTGACCCGTGCGGAACTTCAAGCAACAGCTCCAGACGTT